AAAAGTTACACGTATATGTAGTAAACAGTAGAGGGTTCAGAATACAGTTCACAACGTTAGCCTCCCACCCCCTTCTTCGAGTATCCCCTCACCCTCAAGGTACGTGCACTCGTATAGTGTTCCGATTAACGGTAACATCCCTGTTTTCCAACACACAGGTTATCCACCTGCAGATTGCGACAAGGATGCCACTGTTTTGTACGTCTTATAATTGATTTTAAAGAGGAGTTATCGAACGAACGCCCTTCTCAATATTGGCACCGGGGCGCAAATATTGTTGTTTCAACCCCAGAGGAACCACTCAACCGTAAAACGGTGACTTGTTTTTTCTTCAAGATCTAACTGATCTAAGAACTCATCCAGTGCAATTCCCTTGCGAATGAGTGACTGCTCCGTCACTCAGGCAAAAGTTATAGACCAATTCGAAAAAAAATTCAAAGGGCTGTAACTTTTGAACTAGTAGCCCAATCTTGGAACTGTTTGAAATTATGGATTCTGCAGGCCGCATTCTATAAGAACATTTTTTTTCGGGTCGATCTGAGACAATTTTTTTTTCGGGGCTCAAAAAAAGGCAGTGTATAACCTTCCTTTTTTACCAAAAATCGACTACACCAAAATTTCTCGGGAAACCACTTTTTCTTATTAATTTGGGTGCGTAGAATCCAAAACAATTCGTACTTTTTCGATCAGACTTCTCAATCAAAAGTTATAGACTAGAAACCAATTTCGAAAAAAATTCAAAGGGCTGTAACTTTTGAACTAGTAGCCCAATCTTGGAACTGTTTGAAATTATGGATTCTACAGGCCACATTCTATAAGAAAATTTTTTTTTTCCGGGTCGATCTGAGAATTTTTTTTTCGGGGCTCAAAAAAAGGCAGTGTATAACCTTCCTTTTTTACCAAAAATCGACTACACCAAAATTTCTCGGGAAAACACTTTTTCTTATTAATTTCGGTGCGTAGAATCCAAAACAATTCGTACTTTTTCGATCAGACTTCTCAATCAAAAGTTATAGACTAGAAACCAATTTCGGAAAAAAATTCAAAGGGCTGTAACTTTTGAACTAGTAGCCCAATTAATTAATAAATCAAAGTATAATAATAGTAGCCCAATCTTGGAACTGTTTGAAATTATGGATTCTACAGACCACATTCTATAAGAAAATTTCTTTTCCGGGTCGATCTGAGACCATTTTCTTTGCGGGACTCAAAAAAAAGCAGTGTATAGCCTTCCTTTTTTACCAAAAATCGACTACACCAAAATTTCTCGGGAAAACACTTTTTCTTATTAATTTGGGTGCGTAGAATCCAAACAATTCGTACTTTTTCGATCAGACTTCTCAATCAAAAGTTATAGACTAGAAACCAATTTCGAAAGAAAATTCAAAGGGCTGTAACTTTTGAACTAGTAGCCCAATCTTGGAACTGTTTGAAATTATGGATTCTACAGGCCACATTCTATAAGAAAATTTTTTTCCGGGTCGATCTGAGACAATTTTTTTTTCGGGGCTCAAAAAAAGGCAGTGTATAACCTTCCTTTTTTACCAAAAATCGACTACACCAAAATTTCTCGGGAAAACACTTTTTCTTATTAATTTCGGTGCGTAGAATCCAAATCAATTCGTACTTTTTCGATCAGACTTCTCATTCTCCGTACTAATTCACATACCTACTTAAAGGTTTCTGGAACATCACATTATCCCTTACAATTATCCTTTGTGATCATACTGCAATATAAGAATAGGTTGCCACTGTAATTAAAGTTGGTGAAGTGTTCCATATTTCCTTTACTACCACAACTACTATGTGACTATTTCGGATTTGTGAATAAACGGAACTTGTAAATAATTTATGCTTACTGGTTTGTTGCATTTTGCAAGTAGCAGTTGTAGGTATTTACTATAGTACTATTAACTAAAAAATGGGTGATCAAGAGTTGAAAAATTTCGCAAAAAAAACCGATAGCGTGACCTAAACTAAATAACCACGTAATATTTACCTAATTTCCCTATCTGTAGAGCACAGGGTAATGATAACGGCATGGCTGATCTACAGGATTAATAGCGGCTAGATGAGACGGGGCGGTCTGTTTGATTTTGATAACAAGCTATGCACCTGACAACGGACGTATTGTTATTTTTTCCGTTCATCTAAGGGCCACATGTACCCGCCCCGGCTCAATCTTCTATTTAACTTGAGGATTATATATTGTAGACATCCGACAAGATAAAAGCTTTACGCTAAAATTCTTATCCTCCACTTACAATTTGGTGGTCTGATTCCGTTTTGATTCAAGTGGTGGATTTCGCGCGTTAGAAATTAATGCATGCGCCCGCCGCCGACTTTGGGGCGGTTGCGTACGGGGTAACCGATTGTAAAATGATAACGCATTTTCTCATTTTATGGGTTCAATAAAATCGCCGATTTGTGCAATTTAAACGCGCATATGTTTGGCTCGTCCGAAAGCCGTGTATGCCTACTTTCTTTTACGAGGAAACAAAAAAAATGGCCCAAAAGGTCAAAAAAGAATGGATATTTATGGCGGCTTATTTGAATTTTATAGTATTTAACGGACAAAATTTTTTATAAGTTTCCGTGATTAAGAAAACTTTAGTACCACAAAATGAAAAAGTATTTTAAAGTAGGCCTGGTTGTAAAAATGTTTGATTATAAAACTTTCAAATACGTATGTGAACAAATTGTAATTAATTAATTGCGCTTTTATAATGTTTGAATTTTTTTGAATAATAAAACTATTTTACAGCTTTCGTGTTTTCCACATGTTCCTCTTTGCATATTTTTGACAATCATATTTTATTGTAATTGGTCAAGACAATGGCGCACGAGGATATACTTCATCTTAAAAAATTTCAAAACCCACATTTAGATTTGCAAGGTTCTCAAACGTCTTAAAAAATTTCAGAAGCATAATTTTTAAGGAAAATTAATTAAAATATACATAAACGATTAATTAATTTGACATCAAAGACAATAAAAGCCTACAGTCATAAATTTTTATTAAGACTCTGTAATATTACTTTATAATACAGTCGCCATCATACTTTTCTGATCTGTGGTACAAATGTTGAACAAGAAAATAACCCAAAATAATCACCGCGTCAATTGTAATATTGACAAAGTGATAAATGCGATTTCAATAAAGAAGGAAAAAATGTTACTGGTGCGTTGGGAGCAACAGTCACCCGTACAGAATCAACAATAGCGCAAAGCTTTGTACTGATCGTATCGTTTCTCAAATTGTTGAATTGAAGGTTATGCCATTGCGACAAAAAATAACATTGTAAAATGTGCACAGATATTTAATTAACTGGACATAAAAATAAGAAAACATCAAAGCTGTAAATTTTTATTAGTGCTTAATGTGAGATTCTACGATAAAATACGTTTAGATCTTAGCAAAAGATTTTGGCGATATCTATTGAATTAATTTTAAATTGTTCACAGGGTCGAAAAGGACTGGTCTTCAAAGAAGTACGTATAGTGAGAAGAAGCACGTCAGGCTTTTGTAATAACTAATAGGGTTTGTTTTAGGCCAAGAGACACAATTTTAGATGGACACTCTGTACTTCCAACACAATCTATCTATCTGTGATGAGAATGCTCAATCATATTATCAAATTAGATTAGATGATGGAATCAATTTCGTTGGGGTGGAGAATCCATACAAGATGATCCAAAGTCTGGTAGTCCTCTTGAGGTAAGAACACGGGAGACAATGAAGAGAATTGAAAAGATGGTTTTGACAGGTCGAAGAAATGAAGTTTCATTGCTGCAAGGGAAGTGCACAGATACGCCGATGAACAAAGTGTCCGCCAGATGGATTGGCAAGCTCTTCACACCAGAATAGCCACCTGTCAGAAATTGGGAGGATTTAAAACAAGGTATTTATAATTTTTCAAAAATTATCACTGATGATGAAACTTGGCCTCCCGGGGTCCTCCAATGCAAACGGATTGTTCAGCAGGAAAATTGATGGCAACGATTTTCTGGGATTAATTATACTGTCTTTATTTGGGCATTTTACGGAGGAACAACTGATGAAACAAAAAACAAAGTGAGGAAAAAAATGACAATAATTCATGAAATTAATGAAGATATAGTTTTATAGGCAGACGATAAATACGCAAGATCTAGTCATTTCTTACCGATTTGGAAGGTTAAACAGGGTCAATAATGCCGTTTCCGTGATAACAGCTACACTTTTACCTTATAACAATAGAACGTAAGATTGGTTATCAATTTTAATTTCACGACATTGAATAAACCAGTCCGGTAATTTGTGATGAAACTTACTTTCGTATCATTTTTCGACATTTAACGGGTAGTGCGCGGTGGATAAAGTGCTCCGTCTTCTTCGCGATGTAAATTGTAATGGGTAAGCGTGCTAAATTCAAAACTCCTAACAATTTAGGAACCCTTATTAACTCCCTTGATTGATTAATAGAATTACCTTTCTGGTAGCACAACACACTAGTGCAAATATCTTTTGATTATTTATTAGGGCCGAGGTTAGCTTAAATCTCAAAAAAGATATTTATCTTAAGAGATCAGAAGCAAGTGATCGCTTTTTCCACGTAATAAGAGATTTTTAACAATCAGATTTGTATAGTAGGCGAGTTAAAGACAATAACGGCAGTAAAATTCTAAAATTTTTCTCAAATTCGCTGTAAGGTGCAAAACGCACAATATAATAAACTGATACAATGGAATATTGAAGGATTCACAGATGTTAGCATCACATTTTTAACGATCATTTATTGTAACCTTGCAACGTTGATAAATATAGGCTATAAATAATATAAAATTTGGAATGATAGGACGATTTTAAGGCGTATTGCAGTATTCTGATAGAAGGGTGGAGATTGAATTATTTAAAATGATGTCTTGGACATGGAGATAATACTCTTGGCCTTTTTTCCAACGATCTTTGTGCATGAATAATGATTTTAACATGTTTTAATCAAAAGAAATAAGAATTTAACATCTTTAAATCGCACACGCGCGGTTGTCAAATGTGATGTACTCGTTCGGCATCCAAGATAAGCTTTTATAACTCCAAATTTTGTGTAAAGAATAATTTTGGGTACATTTTGATCTAAAACTTTTGACCTGGACCACAGAGAAGAGTTATAGTGAGTTGTTACACATCTAAGAGTCATAGGGAATAATCTAGCGAAGGTCGAACTCAATATATGATCTATGTAATGAAATATGTTGATTTCAATAGAACCTCAATTCTTGTTGGTAAGGCTTAACAAGTAGGGGGTTTACTATATTTAGAATTTTCAAATTAAAATAGACATGTTTGTTTTAAAATTAATTTATTGTATTGATCCCAGAGTTTTTCCTGTTCTCGTACCGCTCGAAGTCCTATAGCTTTTGTTCCTGTTGATCCAGCTTCCTTACCAGACAATCAATAGCCTCCTATCTTAATGTCCAAAGTACCCGTACACTTTAAAAAGTCGTTAAGCCGCTTGTGAGCAAGAGGCGAGTAGTGTTGTTTTTTCGATTTAAATAACCCTTATGTATATTTCATGCCTTAACGAGAATACAAACATGAAATAATTTTTAATTTCTGATCGAATGACCAAGTACGGAAGTGGTGTAGTTCCAGAGCATTTGTGACTCAGACAGACAGCCAGACAGACAGATATCAAGGGCGCAAAAGTGCACTTTTAATTTTTTGAAGGTGAAAGTGCACTAAAAAGTTATAACACGGACGGACGATACAAAACTATAAAGGATCTGAGGATCCATAATGATCGTTCAATTTTCCAATTTCATTCAGAATGGCAATGTTCCAGACCCACTCAAGAATCTCAGGTATTCCTAGTTCTAATTATCAATTAAAAAAAAGCAGGTCTGTTCATCGTTGTTGAAAGCTTGCTTTCATTCTTCGAACAGATTGTTCTCTGTACTCGTTTGCTTGTACCGTATTCTTACATTACTGCGACTATGGAAACTAGAACTTTATTCAAGATTTTGTCCAATCCTAGGGCGTAAAATCGTGCAATGTTATCCTTTTTCTGTACAAAAATAAAGCTGCAGGTCTATTTCTAACATTTTCTAGGTCTAGTTCATACTCCTTTGTGGTTGGTTCCTTGCTCACCATCCTTTCCGATAACCTTTTCTTTTAATTTCCCAAATTTCATTTCACTCCCATTCTCCTTACGTGGCCACATTTTCCTTTATTATGTTCCCTCTTGAATGTTTTTTTTAAATATTCATAATTTTTTTTTCATTTGCCTTCTGCAATTCAAATTTTCAATCATTCTTAACTTGACTTTCTAAATCAGTGTTAATATAATTCTTCAATGCTCCTTCCATTCCTTTTTTTGTCTCTATATTTTCTTTTGCTTTGCATGTTAATTTTCGTCATCGTTTGCCCAATTGAATTCCACTTAAACAAAGTACTCTACTCAACAATATTACAATAATAATAAATAGTTTATTGGAGTTAATTTGCTATAGAAGGATAATGAGGATTAGCTGGATGGACAGGGTAACAAACGAGAGAAGAATGTGGAGTTGACACATCAGCGTAGCGGGTGGTTCAATTGAACGAGAGTTGAAAAACACTTTCTTCTCAAGTTATACACATATTTTTTTTCTGAAACTATAATCAAAATTGAAAAATTATCGTATGCAATAATGAAGTTCAAAGTTCATGTTTCAATCTTGAATGTCATTATTAAGATTAACGCAGCAATTGCTTTTTACTTTCCTCACTAGAGAGGAAAATCACATTTTATTCACCCTTTTTAGAGACGAAAGTACTTGTTTTTAAAGTAGTTTTCTGCTCTAGTTGTACCAAAAACTTTTTTTATGCTCTTGAACATTGTTCCATACCGTAATATCAATCATGTCAGTATTAGTACCAACTGTTGCTAATATTCCATGTTTTTGATGCTGATGGTACAGCTTCTTAGAAAATTTAACGGCATAATTTACTTGGTGAACCCAGTTTTCTAGCAAAGATTTTTCTATAATGATGTCCGCGGTAAACTCCTAAAAATATTTTAAGAAAGGCTTTAATAGGATCTCTAAAATTCCCTAGGATAAATAAGGATGTTTCAAATAGGATTTAATGTTAAAAAAAATGTCTTCAAAAGTCTTCTGAGTGTAGGTATTTTAATGAAAGTATGTAGTTCACCAGATAAGATTTTCTGAAAGGATTCCTAAATATACTTATTTCGAAAATATTGGGGAGACTTCTAGCAATAATTTTAAAAACCTCGGGTTCTAAGACCGACTAAGGGCCTGTAGAAAGGTTTCTCATGAAGCTTTTGATAGGTATGATTTTTAATAATAGGAGATTTTTCCTAAAATGATATTATTATTTCTAAAGAATTTACTTAAAAATGTTTATGAAAATGCTTTCGACATGTCTTTCAAGATGATTTCTAATAAGATCTCTAGTAAGACAACTAACATGGAAATCTAGAAACAAGATGACTACAAAATTATGAAGACACTTTCTAAGGAGGTTTCGCATACACGTGATTCTAAAAACATTCCCTTTGTCCGTCAGAACAAAACCTCATGCAAGATTTCGAAGAGAATTTCAGCAGATTTTTGTAAAGATGTTTCTTAAAGACATTATTCCCAGGGATTCAATGTAAATTTATAAGATTTCAAGGGGACTTCTTAAAAAGTTTTGTAAGGGTAATTTCTAAGGGTATTTTTCAGGGATTTCAAAACAAAAGATCTCCAGCACAATTTTTTCCAAAAAATTTTAATACTACAAAATTTTTACTTGGGCTAATTCTAATGCTCTTGAGGATTTCTAAAGTTTCTTCGAGATATGTTTAAGAAAATCCACAAGAAGTTCCGCAAGAAGAATGTCAAATACGGTTTCGAAGGTGGTTGGGCTTCTGGGGTAAATTATAGGAAGGGTTCCCACTTCCCAGAAGGTTTATACAATATAGTCTTAGTCTTCACCAGCTTTGCCACGACTATTTGGCTTTACTACAAAATACGTTTAACGATGCAACAATGAGTGACTTAAAGAACCACTCGAATGTAGCTTGTGAAATTGAGTTGCAATACTGCAGACCAGGACAACCAATGGATTATCGTAAAGAAAATGTTTTTATAATTCAGTGTATTTCTGCATTAGTTACCTACAACTAAGTATACGTAGTTGGATTTATATACAATGCTAAAGCTACTAAACTTTAGAGTTACCGAGTGCCTTCCATTTTAAAGTTTAATATTTCTTTTTATGTGCCCTAACGTATTGGTTTTACGCCTACTTTTGAAGTCATAAAAAACTTTACGATTGGGTAAAATTTTATTGTGGAGGTGCCGGTTGCATAACCCATTAAGCGGTATACAATATTATCTAGTCCTGCACATTTGAAAAAGATCCACTTTCACTATTGAAACGCAAAACTAACGGAAAGTGTAATCAAAATCGAAAATCTTAATCGTCCACCTCAGAAGTTTGCCAGTTTCAAAGTCGTAATTTAAAACTTAGCCACTTTGAAAGGTTTTTCCTTCACTTCCTCGATTTTAAAGCGGCAGTTGAGAACGCATCGTAAATTTACCCACGAATTTCTAAACAAGCCATAAAATGCAAAGCGCCTCCTTCTCAAAGTAATTAGAGGCAACGAGAGAAATTTCGCAATTCTTATTACAGAAACGGAAAAGGGTTGACCGGTAATAACATTAAGAGGCGGCGTTGACGTCGGCGGCGTCGTCACGCAGCGAAGAGCGTCATAAAGAGGCATCGTGCCCACTTTATGGCCAGCGACCTCAGCCTACTAGATGTCTATTTAGTGTTTACAACAGCCAAGCGACCGCATTACCTCTTCCTTATTGAATAAATCGAGCGATCCCATCGCCGAATTTGTTTTCTCTTCCGCAAGTCCGAAGAAGCAATTATTTCAAAATTTGTAACGCCTCCCAATGACACGCTTAAAATGGGAAAAGAAAAACGTTGTTTGTGTTGACAAGTATTGATAGATTTGAGTAAATCGCATTAGCTACTGTTTGGCCGTCGTTTTTTGCCTCGCACACTGACAGTTGTTAAATAAATCACGTGCGAAGTGAATTCTTATGGGAGTTAAGAATGTTAATGTGGGCAAAGCGCCTTTTGTATTGTTGTGTGGGTGGGCGTTATGGATAGTCGATCCAAATCAACAGTTCGTAGTTTGTCAAGCGATAAGGGTTTCGCATTTTTCACTTTTCGAGTGGTTGTCAGTACCTATAGGTAATGCT